TCAAAAACCTGATTCAAGTGCAAATAATATCCAAATAATAATAATAATAATGACAACTGCACTACAGAAGAAGCAGGAACATGCATCTGTTTACACATAGTGGGAGATACGAAGAGCAGTCGGAAAGACGGTGTAAAGTTGTCAGCTCCTTCCAACTAATTGGGCTGTTACAGAGATTACAAAAACAAATCTGGCCATTATTTTGGACTCAAGGAGATGTCTTCATCTTACAATTTTGAATTTTAAATTACTTTCTTATCCTGTTCAAGGTCATTACATAATACGCATATGGTAGGCTGAAATGCGCAATAAACTAAAGTAACACACCGTACACTTCAGTCCACCTGTTAAAATATTTTAATACAGAATGACACAACCAAGTTCCCGTTATCAACGTATGTCTTGAATTCTTTTCAGTCCTAAAGGTAACAAGACAGAACAGAGACAGCCACGGACAGTGATGTGCAATGCAAGCCACACTTTGTATAAATTTATTTTCACAAATTATTCAGATCTTACACAGGCAAGATGCTACCTACAAAAGTAATGAAATCAATCAACAGCTGCACAGCAGAAAATCAGCCAACTGATACACTTACGGTACAATGCGTACGTTAATATTAATTTGCCTTCACTCAGACCACTGATCAACAGACGTATTAATATATATTAAATCTTGTCCGTCTAATCGCAATAAATTCTTATTAAATATTACAATAATTAACATTTAAAATATTTAAAATATCAAATGATGTTCTTTATCGAAATATTCGATGATGGTCTAATGTAAATCGAATATTTCGATAAAGAACATCATTTGATATTTTAAATATTTTAAATGTTAATTATTGTAATATTTTAATATTTAATAAGAATTTATTGTGATTAGACGGACAAGAGTTAATATATATTTATTATATCACAATATGACGCAACTTTACCATTTCAGACGTATTAATGTTAAAAATTGAGGAACTGAACTTGTCTTCCATATTAGCAACTGAAAACCAACAGAACAAAGGAGGAAAAATACTGTTCTCTAAACTGTGGCTAAAACAATCTTTATTACAGTTAAAATTCTCCCTGCTGCCATCTTCACATAAACGGAGCAAAACTTGTAATACAGAGATCAACTACAGAACCGAAAGCCAAAACCACTAGCAAGTTTAAGACATGCATTTTACACCTATGAATTACCAGGAAATGTTGCAAGTGTACAGCCCCAGATATGCCAGTTCTGTCAAACAGAATTGATGTCACTTTGTTAAAAGGAGAGATCACTTACTGCAGTGAAGAAATCATGCAAAGACAACAGGTCCCAATGACTACGTACGATACCCATAGCCCACCAATTTTTCATACCATCAATGGAATGTAATAAAATTACTTATCCTGACAGTTTTATCCATTTACAAATTAAATGTATCATTTTTACATTTACAGCAGAATATAATAAGAACAGAGTACAGAATCTGTCTGAAGTTCGTGTACTTCCATAAATCTGATTTTTTTAACCATTTTCACAGAGAGCATTTTTGGAGCAATCATTTCATATGCAGGGCAAAAGCAATTCACATAGTACTATTTTCTCTTATGATAAGTGATACAAATCAAGAATTCACTGCGTGATGGAAATTTGTTACCTTACGAGCAACCTTCCCAATTTTATTACACTCTTTTGATGAAAACAGGTCAACAGAGACAATTATCTTAATTTGCATGAACAACTACTTTTATTTTGATACACTATATACTTTCTTTACTAGCACTAATGAAAGAACAAAGCGATTGGTAATTTTTTGTAAGAGTTCTTCATGTTTAAAAAAAATTATAAGCTTAACATGAGCACAGCTCAGTTCAGTCTGAAATTATCATCTATGAAATCAACAGATGCAGCACAATACCGATTTCTATGAGCAGCATCACTGATGATTTATCTACAAGAGTATTTCCCAACCAGGGTTCCACAAGAAATCATGGAATGAATAAAATATTTTAAATGTTAATTATTGTAATATTTTAATATTTAATAAGAATTTATTGTGATTAGACGGACAAGATTTAATATATATTTATTATATCACAATATGACGCAACTTTACCATTTCAGACGTATTAATGTTAAAAATTGAGGAACTGAACTTGTCTTCCATATTAGCAACTGAAAACCAACAGAACAAAGGAGGAAAAATACTGTTCTCTAAACTGTGGCTAAAACAATCTTTATTACAGTTAAAATTCTCCCTGCTGCCATCTTCACATAAACGGAGCAAAACTTGTAATACAGAGATCAACTACAGAACCGAAAGCCAAAACCACTAGCAAGTTTAAGACATGCATTTTACACCTATGAATTACCAGGAAATGTTGCAAGTGTACAGCCCCAGATATGCCAGTTCTGTCAAACAGAATTGATGTCACTTTGTTAAAAGGAGAGATCACTTACTGCAGTGAAGAAATCATGCAAAGACAACAGGTCCCAATGACTACGTACGATACCCATAGCCCACCAATTTTTCATACCATCAATGGAATGTAATAAAATTACTTATCCTGACAGTTTTATCCATTTACAAATTAAATGTATCATTTTTACATTTACAGCAGAATATAATAAGAACAGAGTACAGAATCTGTCTGAAGTTCGTGTACTTCCATAAATCTGATTTTTTTAACCATTTTCACAGAGAGCATTTTTGGAGCAATCATTTCATATGCAGGGCAAAAGCAATTCACATAGTACTATTTTCTCTTATGATAAGTGATACAAATCAAGAATTCACTGCGTGATGGAAATTTGTTACCTTACGAGCAACCTTCCCAATTTTATTACACTCTTTTGATGAAAACAGGTCAACAGAGACAATTATCTTAATTTGCATGAACAACTACTTTTATTTTGATACACTATATACTTTCTTTACTAGCACTAATGAAAGAACAAAGCGATTGGTAATTTTTTGTAAGAGTTCTTCATGTTTAAAAAAAATTATAAGCTTAACATGAGCACAGCTCAGTTCAGTCTGAAATTATCATCTATGAAATCAACAGATGCAGCACAATACCGATTTCTATGAGCAGCATCACTGATGATTTATCTACAAGAGTATTTCCCAACCAGGGTTCCACAAGAAATCATGGAATGAATAAAGAAATAAATAATTCTGAAATACTGCAAAATTTCCAAATATCCCTCAAAATATCATGGGAATTTTTGTCCAGCAATTGGCAATGCTGCAGTAATCTCCTTTTAGCTGTCTTGTGTTTGCCAAAAATTTGGCCAAGAATTCAACATTTGTACAAAAAGAAACCCTTATATTGATTTTTGACGTGAACTTTATATTTTGATATTAAAAAATTATAAATTTAAAAAAAGACAGAAGAAATTCAATTTTTTTTCTTCTTACAATGGAAGCCGACTTTGCAAATAGTTTCTTGATAATAATTTAGCAGTAATTGAATTGCGCTCCCCACTATCAACTTTTTCTGGCCTGTAAACGTTTTCATAGGTTGGCATTCCTCAGGATATGAAAAATTATTTTGGGGGTTCCTCAACAGGAAAAAGGTTAGGAAACACTGATCAACACTATAAAAACAAACTGCTGCTTTACAAAAATTTTGAGACATTAATACAAGCCTTCAAAATAGTACTGGTCAGAAATCTGACATCAAAAATCATAAGTTACCTCAAATACCATTAATCAGTCACAAAAACACATTTTCAAAAAGGAAATAATCAACATATTTACTCAGTACTACTTTCCACGATCATCGTTCCAATTACGGGTAGAGCTGTCCGGATGATGACACATTTCGTGGTTAGTCAATCAATTCTGCGACTTTAATCTACATGTGGTACCTAAAATTAAACCTCAATGCAAATGTGAACTCAACAGCAGCGCTAGACTGAGGCTCAGGAGGGGATTTAACTGTTCTGCATGCGAAGAAGCGAAAGCCAACCCAGAACCCAAACCATCAAAATTGACTATTTTTGTTGCTATATTGCTATAAGATTAATGAACCAACTTTTTATAATATCAAAAGACTACTACAGTATTTCATTATTGCTAACACGCATCGAATGTCTCAATATTATATAATTCGCATCACATGCCACGGACCAAAACTTGGAAGGTCACTACTGAAAAATCTACAAAATAGGTCAAGGAGATTTTATGGATGTTATTTATGATGCAAGGAAAGCATTGTAAAAACAAGTTGTGTGGTCCAACAGATATCCTTTAGTCTTCAAATAAAGATTATATAAATTACGCCTTTTCATTTGCCAAAAATGAAGCATGTTCCTGTACCTGTGAAACATCCAGTTAGTACATGGAACTCCATATTCAGTATTTGTTTGAGAAATCCTCACACTATGATTCTCCGCCTCAGATTCATAATATTATATTCTGAATAAAAAAAATCATACGTTATGTGTTATACGCATCAAAGTACCCATCCTGTTAATGTGTAATTTTCTACGTACGGCAGCTACCATGTATTATTCTTAACAGACGGCCTGCCTTAAATATACCAACATTTCTGTTCTGAAATAAAAGACGCACACACAGACAGTCTTCATAATCTTCAAGGAAACCCTCGACAAATACAACTGACCAATTTGTGTTACTGAAAAGTTGAACAAAAATACAACTTTGAAAATTAAAATATTGTTTTACATTATCCATCTTTCATGAAATGATATTACTGCATTTATTTGAAAGGCCAAAATAATGTCTAGTTACAAATCGAACATACCGATGAATTCGTATTAGACGAATATAAAGCTCACACTCTGCGCAATAAAATACATTTATAAACTACTTCAGCAGCAAAGGTTTCAAGGGCTGTTTGTTATATATATATATACAGAGAATGACTTGGAACTGTATGCTGTATCTAAGTCTAAATTTAATATTTTACCTACTGGAGTCACACTGGAAATGGGCATTCATCA